TGCCCAGCCCTCAATTTTTGGCATAGTACCTATATTCTCCGTATGCCTTTGTGCTTGTGCTCCCAGCCCCTCTTTATTGCTGTAGGTGATGATACTCTAAACCTGTCAGGCTTTGATGGGGAAGCCACACCTTCAGTTTCTTTTCCCCTGAGTGATTCTAACTGAAAGAATTAACTAAGAAGCCACAACCTTAAGTACATCTTTACTTGGAGATATCTTAACCCTTTCAGAGTGTTAAGAGGGAGTGTGATAGCTATTCTCGTCCTCTGAACCTCACTCCAGAGCTAAGTGCTAATCGATCTTTTCCACTCAAAGGCTTTCTCAGTTTTATCATCTATATATTGGGGAACAGAAGCAGCTGCTTTTTTCCAACCTTGCCAATCTGACTTCATGGACTCTATTTCCTTTCCTTTTTGTTTATAAACCAGTCCATTCCTTTCTGAGCCCATCTCTCTCTCTCTCTCTTGTTGTGGTTATACCTTTTAAAATGCAGCCAACAGTAGCCAAGAGTCACCAACACATGCTACTAACATTTGATCATCAACATCTTCCAAGAGATCTACTGATTCTTTAGGTATATTATCTGTCTTCCAAGTTATCATATGTGATGGTTTTACCAATTGCTTTGCTGGCCTGCAGAATTCATTTCCTCACTCCCTGCTGCCTGGCCCCTAAGCCAGTGCCATACTTTTCCTGCTTTTGAAACAACACTCCATTTCAAGCAGCAGTCACAATAGGCCAGGTTCTTGGGCAGTAACAGTTCCCAAATCTCGGTGGTTTGAAGAACAAAAGCTTATTTCATGCTCACGCTGTATGTGCATTGAAGATTGGTTGCATCCTCACTCCAGGACCGAGACTGACGGATCAGCCAGTACTTGGAACGCTTCCTATAACTGTGGGAAACCTCTGGAGGGTCTCATGCCTTCTAGCTAAATATTCTGGCCTGAAGCGATGACTTAGACATCACTTCTACTTACCATTAAAGGGGGTTTTCTTCAGCATTGTTTTTGAGCTCTGTACATCTTGAGGCATATAAACCTAGTCGATTCTCATAGCTATATAGTATATCACATTTTATTTACATACTGATAGACATCTAGATTTTTACCAGTATTTTGTTATTATAAATTGCTGCAGTGAACATCTTTGAATATGTTTCCTAGTACCCATGTGCAAGAATTTCTTTGGGAAATAGTTCCTTTTATTCTTTAGAATGTGCTAAGAGAAGATGGATCTAAAGTCAGCCACTTGCCTATAGCACCTTGTTTTATGAATATCAGCTTAGTTTAGACACACCTCACTATGGTAGAAACCATTTTGAACAAGTAGATCAGTTTACTTGTTTGCATAAAAGTCTTTTGCAGTTTGAACCTGGTCTCTTCCTGAGCATCCTTGATGAATATTCTAGATATTTTTTAAAAATACCATCTGGTTGGTTCAAGAAGGAGTAAAGGGTAAATGCAAGCATTCTGTATCTGGAACCACCATCACTTCTGACAAACACAGAACAGATTAATCAGTGGTTCAGCTGACTGTATCAGCATCAGGATATCCTGGATTAAAAAAAAAATGAGTCGTGAATCATAGCTGCATTGGGATGTTTTTCCTTCCCCTTCTCTTCTATCTCCTTCCATCTCCTTGTGTATAGGAAGCGTAGATTTAGGTAGAACCTTGATATCAGGAAGATAAATGAAACTGTACATTTAAAATGTGACAATGTCCTATAAAAGCATTAAATGTATGAATACAAGAACATTTTCCATGAAGGTAAGAAAGGAACATAGATAAGTGAAAATTTCTACTGCCTTTTCAACTAATACAGGATTCCAATTCTGTTCCCTTTTACCTTCAACGAAATTGCTGATACAACATTTAATTGAATTTTCAAAACTCTACACTTTTCCCCACTATTTTGTTGAGTTGCCATCAAAAACTTTGAAACAATTCAAAAATGAGGAGGAAGTGAGTCAGGAAGAAAAAAATCAGGATTCTAAAAAACTTATAAAATGTTTAGGTGTCCCCTGTCCCATTTTTTAAAGTGAGACCTCTTTATCATTACCTGTATTTACCAATATCCTACAAACTAAAAGGCTGTGTAGTAACTCTTCATCCTAGAGGGCTGGTGACAGCCGTGGCTGGGTAGTGCTGAATTTGTGGTACAGAACTAGATTATTTTCTGAGTTTCACACTACTTATTCTGTCCATTCTGTGCTGACATCTCAGCACATTTTTTGTTATTATCGAATTCTTATTTTTTCCTTCTGCATGTACTAAAAGTTCTAAGTATAGAATTTTCTCTATTCCCTCCCCTGGTCTCTGACCCTCAGCCATACAATCCGTTTATCTTGCCACTCCTTAACAATAGTGACAACGTGGAGGGGTGGCCTCCTATACATTTATGCTGGCTCATATAATCATAAACACATAGGGGTCTTCCTTCCTTGCTTCCTTCCTTTTCCCTTCATCCCATCCTCTGTCCCTTTTCTTCCCTTCTTCCTCACCTCCTTTTTCTTCAAACCAAATAGGGTAAATGAATGATAGTTCTAGGAATCTTTTGCTTTTCTCATAGAAAATGGAGGATATCTCTCCAGGCAGCCTGTATAGGTCTCATTCATTCATTGTTTTTAATGGCTGACTAATATTCCATAGTTTGGAAGTCATACACTTTATTGAACAGTTTCCTTGTTAGGGGATTGTACTTTTGTTTCCAGTTTTTGTTTGTTTGTTTTTAATTTGGCCACTCTAAAGGGTGCTGCTATGAACATTCTTATAGCTATCCTTCAATACTGGTGATTTTTTTATATGGTCCAGGAGAGATTAGCTGGGTCAAAGACGTTCGTGTACTTTTAATTTTGATAGGTGTTGCCAGAGTATTTCCAAAATGGTTATCTTAGCAATCTTTTGAAATACCCTTTCCCCATCCTGTCCAGGTGTTAGAGTAAAAAAATTAAATGTTATAAAAATTATCAAGAGAGAGTTTATAGAGTGAATTATAACAACGTCAGCCTCCTGTTGACGTGCTATAGAGTAGTTCAGCAGAGTTTAAAACTAGGGCTGTGGTCAGCCTATATGATTGGAGGTGGTTCTGTGTTTTATGGAAGGAGGAGTGTATTTCTTATAGAATCCATAAAAGTTTATAATAGGGAGGAACTGGAGATAATTTTAATGCAATTCACCCTTCACAGATAATGGGATTGAGATCCAGGGAGGTAGAGTGAATTACAGTGAGCTAGCTGCTTCTAGAAAGCAGTTCTGAATCTTGATTCAGGGATTTACCTATTACCTACACTTTGGGCCATGCTTATGGGACAGTGACTTAGAGAATGGATCAAGAAACATCATCCTTGAGCTGAATAGACTAGTAGGGATAAACCGTTTGCAATTTTCTATTATTTCCTGCTTGGGTGAGCAAGCTTCCCAGCCTATACTGGGCAGTGAGGGATTTGCTTCGCAAACTTCCACAGATTGTGGATTCTCATTTGGATTCACTCTGCGTTCATTATAGAGTATTTGACAGCACGGCATTCACTTTCCAGGTTGCCTCCAGCTTTCTTAGGTTGCTCAGACTATTTTGTTAATAACAGTGAAAATAATTACAATGGAGATTCATTTTGTCATAGATCAATGCCTCCAGCAGGTTAATATATGTATATACACACACATATATATGTCTATACAGTAAGTCTTCATATAACATCATCGATAGGTTCTGAGATTTTAAGGGAAATGACATAGAACAAAACCAATTTTACCATAAGCTAATTAATATAAACAAGAGTTAAGTTCCTATGGCACCTCATCATATTATAACAAAACCATGTTATTTGAGAATCAGCTCTGTGTGTGTGTGTGTATGTGTGTGTGTGTGTGTTATAACAAAACCACGTTATTTGAGAATCAGCTCTGTGTGTATGTGTATGTGTGTGTGTATATATACAATGTAGTGAGTTTTAGAGAATGGACCAAGAAACATGATCTGTGAGGTATACGTATTATTTATAGAGGTATGCCTTCATCTTGCAGACCTGGTCAGGAGCTGTGCTTATTGGTGGGCTTGGCTGTCAGTGGCTGTGGTTCCTCTGGTTTAGTAGTTCCCAAACCTGCAAATTGGAACCACTGGGGAACTTTTTTAAAAAAAATGCTCACGCCCAAAGTCCCACCCCTGAATTAAATCAGAATTCTTGGGAGAGGAGACCAGAAAATGGAATGTTAAAGGCAATTCTAATATGCAGCCGGGTTGGGGACTTCTAGGTGGGCCATTTCTGATGGAGCCAGTGTCTCTGCCTAATAAGGAAAGAAAGGAGATGTAACAGGAGGCGTTCTTTTTAGAATTCTGCCACATAGGGATCATATGTCTGCCCATCATCTCTCATAGCCCACCTTTTCTTTTCCTGCTTCCTATTCGTAGATTACAGCAGTGGAGTCATATCTTATAAAGTCAGCTCATGAAGACAAAAATCGATTGCTGTAAAAATTACCATTGAAAAATACCCTTAGGAAGGCACCACAAGGTTAGAGATTAACACACTGTCTATCGGTACACCTAGCATAGCCAGTTTTTCTTCCAGCATCGGAATGGGTCACTGTTTCTTTGGCTAAGATTCTGATAAAATAGTTGGCATTTGAGAGCAATGATGTATGCAAAATATATATCTTTTGAGTATTGAAACTCACCCAACTCGGTGAGATTCTTGAGCCCCAAGAAGCACATGGGAATTGACACTGCTTTAGGGAACTGCAGAATCCTGTTTCTCATCTTGTACTCAATCCCAAGGCCTACTCTAATTGAGGAGAGTGTGGGCAAAATCATGGGCACCATTTAAATTGTGAATTTCTCCTTGCCTGTCTTTTCTTTTAGGCACATGTAGTTGAATTCTGATAAACCGAATGATCAATGCACATATAGATGTGACATCACTGTATTTCATTAATTGAATATTATAAAAATCAAACATTTCTTTGCATGTGTTGAATTCAGCAGCACTCTTTCTGTCCTCTAGCATTCCCGTGGTTTGGCATGGATATCGGTGGGACACTGGTTAAATTGGTCTACTTCGAACCGAAGGATATTACAGCCGAAGAGGAACAAGAGGAAGTAGAGAACCTTAAGAGCATCAGGAAGTATTTGACTTCTAATACTGCTTATGGGAAAACCGGGATCCGAGATGTCCACCTGGAACTGAAAAACTTGACCATGTGTGGGCGCAAAGGGAACCTGCACTTCATCCGCTTCCCCAGCTGTGCTATGCACACATTCATTCAGATGGGCAGTGAGAAGAACTTCTCCAGCCTTCACACCACTCTCTGTGCCACAGGAGGCGGGGCTTTCAAGTTTGAAGAGGACTTCAGAACGGTATGTGGATTTGTCCTTGTTAAAACAACAAAACCATCCCTTAGAGAAAGAAAGAAAACCTCTCATATGTCCATAATCGTGGCTTCTTATACCAAAAAACTAGACTACTACTATACTAGCCTTGGGACTTTGGATAAGTTTACTTCACCTCTCTGTGCCTCAGTTTCCTCATCTATATGTATTTCTTACTTCATAGGGTTGTTACATGAAGGGATAAAGGAGATATTATGTACCTGGCACTTAGTTAATGCTCAGTAAATATTAGCTATCATCATCATTTTTGTTACAATTACTGTTGTGCAGTATGCTAAAGACAAGATGATATAAACCCCCTTCCGAAGCATTTTAGTCAGAGTTTTCCATAGATGCTTACTATAGTTTCATGAAAAGCATAATCACTGTGCCAGTTTTATAGATGGATAGTCTGAGGCCCTCAGAAAAGGCTTTCTATAAATCTTACTAAAAATTATTACTTCTGTCTACCAATTTGCACGGTCTTTTTTTGTTTGTTTTAAGAGTGTCATTCAGAAGTTTCACTCAAATGAAAAAGAAATCTTTGATATTATTTGTATTATTTGAATTCCCTTATTAATGGACATGGTTTAGGGAGTATGGTTCTACAGAATAAGAATAATGTTGACTAGCAGTGTATTCCAACTGTGTTGCTCATCTAGATTCGACAGATTTGGCAAGTGGAAGATATAGATGAGTGACATGGATTCCAAACTTTCCCTTCATTTAGCAGTCCCTTAAGACCTATGTATTCCAGTTTTCCCATCTCTACGTCAAGATAATCTCTATACTGTCCAGCCTCATCTCACAGAGGATAAAATGAAAATAAAGTAAAATAATAAGTGGAGAAAATAAAGGAAATTAGATTAACAGAAGTGATTGAACATAGGAGAAGGAAGGGTTGGAAGATTTGGGGATTAGTTTTGCCAGAAAGTTGAAAATATAGTGAGATAAGATATAAAATACATTTTCTCAGAGCCTAGAGTGCAAGTTATTGGCATTTTTTTCATGGAACTAATGTAATCCAGTCTTGTCATAAAGTCTATCATTAATGAATAAGTTAATGAGTCAATGTGTTATTTATAGTATTAAACTATAAATGAAAATTTTATTCGTATCATCAAAGGTAACATTGTTTGTTTTATTGATTATACTAGGTAGTTTCTAAAGGAGCTGGCAGAGTCCTAGCACAGTATCCTAAGTGAGACTGA